ATATATATATATATATATATATATGGAAATGAACTTTCCATGAAAAGATTTTGATGCATTTTTTCTAAATCTCAAACCTGTTATTTTTACCCAAACCAGACGCAGTTTCTGCTCTTTTGCATAACTCTTCAGGTGTAAACGTTTCTCGTCTCTCTAGTGGAAACTCTCTGTCTGATATTTTGTTTCCATTTAACCGAGTTTAATCATATCGCAGCTCAGTCTCTGTCTTTGTTAAAGCCACAGGAAACGGGCAAAAGAAAAAAAAAAGCTTGAGCAACTTGCTGGCAGCCAATCGCTGCAAACATCGAGTCAGCGGCTGAAAAACCACCGTGACCTTTGACATCGTAACTTCAACTAACGAGGTTCTCGGGCMGCTATCAGCGGCCCGAGACGGCTCGGAGTTCTCGAGATGTTTGCCGGGAACGAAGGCGCCGCTGACGAGGCACTGAGTTGGACCACAGGAGCAGAGATGTGGATGGAAAGTGTGGTGTCGAGTGTAGGAGGAGGCTCACGCTGCTGGTGGCAGCTGCAGCAGCTTTTTTTCTGACTCAAACTGCATCTGCAGCCATGAATCATCAAAGCCAGAATAGAGGAACTGAACAAGCTGCAGCAGAGACGTTTAAAATCTTTAAAACAAATCATCTATTTTAGACAAAAAATAAGCTTTAGCTGAGGTGTTTTTTTTTCTTCAGGTTCAGCTGCTCTAACTGGAGCTGATCCTGTGTTAGATGAGCACACAGACAGCTGAGTGTTTCACAACAAATCAACAAAATCATTCAAACCAAAGCAGAAAYTTAAAAAACTCACCTTTTTCTTCTGAGTCTGCTCCTTCTCTGAGGCGTTTGAAGGCCTTCGCCTCAGCATCTTCTCCCTCAGTGGTCCACAGAGCTCCCAGGACACAACCGTAGTTTATAACCGATGAGGGCCTCCGTCCCGGTGCTGAGGACCTCCTCGCTGAGGATCTCGGTGCTGTCGCAGCCGCAGTCGGATGCAGAGAGAGAGAGAGAGGAGGTCTGAGGTGTGCTCTGCTCTGTTCTGCAACCGCTGAGTGGAGAGCAGAAGTCAGGAAGTCACATGGCCTCTCTGAAACTGAAGAGTCAAACCCAGTTTTTGCTCTGGGCCACAGAGTGAAAGCTGCTCGCTGACATGTGTTACCATCACCTGCGTGTCACCATGAGCTGTCGTGTGTAGAAAACTGAACCACCGCACGATGAAGGGTTTTAGACACGACCCAGTAAATCCTGTTTATAAAACACTCAGGCAGACAGCATTTAGCTGTTGGAGCATCGATCGACGCATCGATACCGAGATGAGATCAATGCTTTTGTTTACACTTTATTTACACTCCTGACTTCAGTTTTCACTAATAAACAGGATAGTCAGTTCTGAGCCTCCAAGCTGTTTGTGAGTCATCAACAGAAACTCCTCCTCTTCATCATGCTCGAGTGCACGATGAACGTATCTTAATTTTAGTGGGGTCCTGATATTGAAGCCAGTATCTGTATCGTACCAGTGTTTTTACAAATACTCACACAAGGTTTCCTGATACCCAAACTCAATTAAATGTGTTACAGTTTTTATTTCAAATGAAGAGTTCCATGTTTAGGAAAATTTATACAAGAAAATCTAATTTCTCCACACCCTCAGCAGGGTCCTGGAGGGTGCATGGGAGTTCACTCAACCAGTCTACATGTGTTTTGTGGACCAGGAGAAGACGTTCGACCGTGTCCCTCAGGGACTCCTGTGGGGGGTACTCTGGGAGTATGGGGTACCAGGCCAGCTGTTAGGTCCCTGTACGACCGGTGTCAGAGTCTGGTCCGCATTGCCGGTAGTAAGTCGGACTCATTCCCGGTGAGAGTTGGACTCCACCAAGGTTGTCATCGATTCTGTTCATAACTTTCATGGACAGAATTTCTAGGTGCAGTCAAGGTGTTGAGGGGATCCGTTTTGGTGGCCTTAGGATCACATCTCTGCTTTTTGAGGTTGATGTGGTCCTATTGGCTTCATCAGATCGTGATCTCCAGCTCTCACTGGAGCGGTTCGCAGCCGAGTGTGAAGCGGCCAGGATGAGGACCAGTGCCTCCAAATCTGAGACCATGGTCTTGAGCCGGAAACTGGTAGCGTGCCGCCTCCAGGTCAGGGAGGAGGTCCTGCCCCAAGTGGAGGAGCTTAAGTATCTCGGGGTCTTGTTCACGAATGAGGGAAGAATGGAGAGGGAGATCGACAGGCGGATTGGTGCTGCGTCTGCAGTGATGCGGGCGCTGTACCGGTCTGTCGTGGTGAAGCGAGAGCTGAGCCAGAAGACGAAGCTCTCGATTTACCGGTCGGTCTAAGTTCCTGCCCTCATCTATGGTCACGAACTTTGGTAGTGACCGAAAGAACGAGATCACGGATACAAGCGGCTGAAATGAGTTTCCTTCGCAGGGTGTCTGGACTCTCATAGGGTGAGAAGCTCAGTCATCCGGGAGGGACTCAGAGTAGAGTCGCTGCTCCTCCTCGTTGAGAGGAGCCAGTTGAGGTGGCTCCGGCAGCTGGTTAGGATGCCTCCTGGACGCCTCCCTGGTGAGGTGTTCCGGGCACGTCCCACTGGGAGGAGGCCCAGAGGAAGACCCAGGACGCCCTGGAGGGATGAGCTGGCCCAAGTGGCTGTGGAGAGGGAGGTCTGGGTCTCTGCTTAGGCTGCTGCCCCCGCGACCCGATCCTGGATAAGAGGAAGAAAACAGATGGATGGACAATTTCTTATTTTTATTTATTTTAAGGGGGTGGGGGTGTATGTATTTTCCAGGCACATAGTTCAGTTCTAGACCACAATCAAGTATCTATTACCTTCAGTTGTTAATCATAAATAAATCCGACACCTTGAAATTGGCTTTGGTCTTTCCCCCACTCCTTGGGGTGGCTTGCTCTGTGGGGTGGGAGTTCAGATATAGACTGAGCTCCGGGGAGGAGCTTTGTGTAAATAGGCGGAGCTTTGTACCAGKAAGCATTTAGGCAGCTTCACATGGCTACCAGGAGATCGAAGGATTTCTCAAACATACATGAATGAGTCAAAGCAACACTCTGAGTATGTTTTTGATGAGGGGACGACTTTATAACAYGATATGAAACTCAAAAAAGTCCATTCTGCATTATACTCCCCCTAAAATATTTCAACATTATATTTCATGTTGTATTTGATTTGATCCAGTCAGAGGGGCTGAAGGTCAATAAGGAAAGAGAAACACCTTGTTCAAAATAAAATAATGTGTTTTAAAAATCATTATGTTTAAGCTCTAACTCAGTAGGTACTCTGTACTCAATATTGGTAATATCAAAAGTGAAGTACTCATACTTGTACTTGAATTGAGACAAACTGGAATCGGGACACCCCTGGTGTTCCTGGTAGTGTTGTGGATTTTATGACATTTTACTTAATCAATTGTGTGTAATATTTATTTTTGTACTAATACATTGTTTTATGTTAATAGAAACCTGTGTTTTAGCATAATTAACTGACTAAAGACAAAAACTAAAATTGTTTAATGATCATGACATTTCAAGTAAAAAGTATTGTCATCAACAATACTAGCTCTGTATTTACTTGGTATCGGATCAATATATAAAAAAAATCCTGGTATTGCTCACCTCTAGGCAGCAGCTTGAGCAGGGAGGCCCAGTCCCTCCAGCAGGTCCTGGGTCTCCTCTGGGTTGGACATGCTGTAACACCTCCCTTACCAGATCGCTGTTCTGTTCTCTGCTCTTCAGGTTCTGCAGAACATTTGTTCACATCAGGCATGTCAAAGTAAAGAAACGTCTAAAACATGCAGGACAGCGGACCTCAAGGACCAGTATAAAATCCCACTGATCCAGATGCAACCTGTAGTCATCTATGAATGCAACACATTTACATTGGTTTATGAGATATTTTGCTAACAGACAAACACGCAAAAGCAGAAACATCATTGTTCACCTTTCACTTTTGGCAGCAGGTGATAATAATCAAACTGATCAGTTTCAGTCAGAAAACAGTTTTTAGCTTCCTGAACTGATCTGCTAGTGAATAAAATAAGACCTGAGTTGTTTTTCCAGTTTTATTTGTTCACAATTTTCAGCTCCAGTTTTTATAGAGTGGGTTGTAGTCATAGTGAGATCAGTTTAAAGTGTGGAAGTGAAAGACATTTGGAAACTAACAGACCTGCTGCTGCAGGAGATCACAACACAATCTTGACTATGAGAGTCCAGTTAACCCTTTTCCAACAAATGTGACTACATTTAACAATTTATAATGTGACGCAAAGTTAGACTAATCAAATCAAAACGTCTAAAACCAACGACTCAGGCAACCTGTGAGTCAGAAATGTGCTTTAGCCTGCAGGACAATGAGTCCAACACACAGCAAGAGCTGAAGAGGGAAGTTCAGTGCTCGGCAAGTTTAGTTTGTTATTTTGGTGGTGCAGAAACCACATGATGAGAGGATGCCCTATTTCAACTTCCTGTCATTCGACTACAGGATGGTAGCAAACGCCTGGGTCTGTGCATCGTGAAGAGGATGAAAACAAACCTGGAAGAAAAGCCAAAACAAAGCAGAGCTTCAGTCAGGTCGAGTCTCAGAATGAGACATTAACGGCCTTCTTTCAAGTTTTACTTCAATTTTAACAGAAAAAAACACAAAAAACTCTTTTTACTGTGACAATCAAGGGGCAGATACAGGCGTTTTTAGCACCAGGGGTGCTATGACTCAGTGTTTTAGGTTTTATTGTGGGTTTGTTTTGTTTACATTGTGGTGGAACACATTTCTTCTTTTTGAAGCAACTCACAGGGTGTCATCATGTTAGAGTTTAAAAAGATCCCAGCATGAATCTCTTTGTTCCAGCTTCTGACACAAAAACATGAAAGTTTTGTTGCTTCTGTGCATGAAGCTAATAACCAACATTTCAGCAGCTCAATGTGTTAGCTCAGCGCTAAGACACTGGAGACTTTAAAACAATGTACAGTCTTATTTTATAAGTTTATTAATGCTGCCAGTGGTGGACACAGCTAACTGAATGGTTAGCTTTACTATCTCATAATTCACTCATTCATTGCTAACACTAAACCACTAAACAGAATATTTAGAGGATGCTAACCGCTAACGCTAAGAAGACTGTCGCTCAGTCTGTGCTAGTTTTTGTATACATCCTGCATATTGTTAAAGGTTTTTTATTAATTTATTTTTGACACTCTTAGTTTGAAGTTTAGCTGCTACACACATGGTACCCGACACGTCCAGCACTGCTGTAAGATGTGATTTTAACCCCTTCTCGTTATCTGCGGAATCAAAGTGGGCGTGTCACAAGAGTGGGCGTTTCACAAGAGTGGGCGTGTCAAAAGCATAAACACTGTGGGCTACAAGGCCTACATGACGGTATCCTTACTTCCTGCTTAACCTCTATACAGCCTGACCCTGACCCCAACACTGAGCTTAACCAGGAGAAATGTGACCCAAGTAGGGGTCTCCAGAAAAAGTGGTGCCGTACAGTATTGCCCGTTTTGCTTTTTTGCTTGTCCAGTGTGTGTCCCTTTAACAAAGTCTGTCAAATCCTGTGTGTAGCTTTAGAATTGCCTTTCCTTGTGACACGCCCACTCATCCGCAGAGACCCCTACTTGTGAGAGTTGGCAGCTCTGAGAGCGGTCTGGAGTACTTTTCACCAACCTACACTTTTATACCTGTGCTAGGTGCTGTTAGCAGACTTAAAGTTGACAAAACCTAACTTAGTGGCTGCTATTGGTCTGCTAAGAGTTTTCAAAGTTAGTGAAAAGCTAGTTCTGCTATTAGCTGTTAGCAGAACCATAGCTAGCACTGGAAACGCACACATTTATTGTGATAAAAATATTGTGGTTTGTTTATATTGGTTTAGATCAAACAGTTCAGCTCTAAATGAGACCATAACTAAGACAGAAAATACTTCTGTTCACAGGAAATTATCGACTCACACTTGTAGTTCCTGTTTACTCACTATGGCCAACACCAAATTGTCAAACGTGCCTTTCTGAGATCTGTCCAACCCTGACGATAAAGATGTTTTATCAGAACAGGGTGTGGAGCGTTGTTTCTTTAACCCAAATCCTTTTGCTCATTACTTCATACAAAAAACTACCAATTGTATTCCTATGGCACAACCCTGAAATCTGCATGGAAAAAAACAACGGTTTACTGGAAGACATGGCATGATCAGGGGATACGTACTGTATACTGAATGATCTGTATGAAGATGGAGTGTTTATGACTTATAACAATTTAATGAGAAAATATAATATGACGGGAAGAGAACGTTTTTGGAAATACCTACAGATGAGGAACTGTGTCATTTCACATATTCAACAAATGGAGGAAAACCACATGTCGGACTATTTTGCCTTGCCTTCAAATCATCACAATGCCTCAACTTTCTACAAAAAAAAACAACATCCTCAATAGTGATTGCAAAAACCTAGATACTGTGGGAAAAGGACTTTGGAACTGTGTTTGGGGATGAAGAAAACTGTCCAAAACTACACTTACCAGCCACTTTATTAGGTACACCTGTCCAACTGCTCGTTAACACTTAATTT